GGACCCTGGGATCATGACCTGAGCCGAAGGCAGACGCTTAACCGACTGAGCCACCCAGGCGCCCCTCTCCATGGAGTCGTATCGTTGAGCACAGTGCCTGGCACTGACTAACATGGAGCATTCACTAGTCTTGCTGCCTGTGATGTGTCTCATCGCTATAATACAGTGGTCGGGAGAAGTGTATTCTCCCTATCTGGGACTGACTGATATAACCCATATCTACCCAACATGGGGGAGAAATTAACCATGATTTTTGCAGACTAAAGTTCTTGAAACTCTTCTGAGGTCACACCTAATCAGCAGAAAAATGAGAGGCGTATGCTCATTGTGTGTTGTGCTTGTGTGCTCCCCAAGCTGTGTGTGAAACTCCATTACTGTGTGAGCTGTGCCTTTCACAGCAAGGTAGCCAGGAATCGCTCTCATGAAGCCCGGAAGGACCCAACACCCCCACCCCAATTTAGACCCGCGGGTGCTGCCCCACGACCTCCACCAAAGCCCATGTCAGGAGCTGAGTCCTTAAGGACTGAAGAAAAACGGTTCTCTGGAAAAAAATAAAATGGAGATTATACTTCTAAAAATATTTATTTATTTACCTATTTCTTTTTATTTAGAAAAAATACCATATAGTACTCTCCGAGTCTACTATATACTTAATAGAAAATGCCCCAAAATAGAACTTAGAAACGGTTAAGATATAAAACTAATAAAGATTTTTTAAAAAACGAAGATTGAAATGTGGAGACCACTGGGAGAGACGGCCAGCATCATGCTGTGCAGGGCTTTACTTTAGGGCACACCGTATTTCCCTCAGCTCCGTGGCAGGGTGGAGGGATGGAAAGAGCAGTGCCTTGACGTCATTCAGAGCTAGTTCCAAGGTCAGCTGGTACGAGATGGCCTGTGTTCAAGTACTGGCCCGACCGCTTACTGTGCGGCAACAGACTGAACTTCTCCACTCCCTCATCGAGGAGGTGGACATGATGGCAATCTATTTATCCTAGGGTTGCGGTGAAGATGAAAGCAGATAGCACTCCAAGGCACTTCGTTTAACAAGCCCTCGCTAAATTGCTACTACTGCTACTTAGAACTCCGGGATGCTCTGCAGGCCACCTCCTGGCTCCACGTCTAAATGATCTTATCTGCAAAATGCAGATAACAGCACTTCACTGGCAGGGGTTTTGTGAGGATTAAAAGAAATGATACCTAAACTAGTAGCCTGCCTCTCACATTTGTGAGCACTAAATAAATGTCCGTTCCTATGCCAGCTACCCCCTCCCGTTCCCCAACCTCAGCCCCTGCTAAAATAAAAAGCTTTCAACCATGATTGCCTTGCTATAAAAAGTCTCAAGGAAAGCTCACAAGTTAGGTCATACTGGTCGTCACACAGAACTGAGCCACAGCCAACATGTGATGCGGGTTCTGGCTTCCGCTGCGTTGCACCCCATAAAACCCAGGTCTGGGGTGGATCGGCAGGGGCGGCTGCTGGACAGGACTATACACTCAGGCCCTGAAAGCCCGAGTTAATAAAGCCATTAGCAGGAGTAAAGACTGTAATCAGGGGTTATTCCTCCATAGTCCTCAAATGGTGTCTTTGGAATTTTCAAAAGCCTGGTCCTCGCTCCTTCCTCAAACCAACCACATCATCAGTTTTCCCATTTAAGTAAGTGGTACCACCATCCCTCCAGCTTCTTGGGCCAGAAGCTGGGATTCACCCTTGACTCCCCTTGATTCACCCCTGATTCTTTGAAAGATTTGTCTTCGTTTTTTCCCATCCTTCAACGTGTCCCAGACTCTGCCTGATTCTGCATGAATCCAGCCCCTTCCTACCACCACTGCCATGCCCTAGTCTAAATCACCAGTACATCTTTCCCCCCAGATAGTGCAAAACCTCTTAACTAGACTGCAGGGCCCCTCTCCAGGCTGTCTCCAATCCATTCTCGAAGGAGCCAAAGGGATCTTTTTAAAGCATTAATCAGATGTCTCGCTTTCTTAATATTCTCCAATGGCTTCCCTAGCACTTACAGCAACATTCAATTCAAATTCCTCAATCGCAGCCAGGAGGTCTTTCCTGAATCTACCACCTCCTGTCTTCCTACCCCCAGCCTCCACACAATGTCTTCTGGCCCCTTTGGCTCTCTGCACCTAGGAGGCCTCTGTCATTGCTGCCCCTTTCTTCAGAGTGCCGTAAAGATAAAAGGGAACCTCTCAGAGGGACTTTTCTCACCGCCCTAAATAAGTAAACGCCCTCTCCCTTCATGAGGCTTTGCCTATTGACCTATTTTATTTTCTTCAAGCACTTATCACTAAAATGATCTTACTTGTTTGTATGCATTGTCTGTGTCCCCACTAGAACGTATGCTCCATGAGGGCAGAGACTTGGCATTGTTCACCGCTAGGTACCCACATTCTAGAAGGGTGCCTGGTGCATAGTAAGAACTTCATAAATATTCGTTGGATGAAGAGCACCCTGTCATCTCATATCACCTCACATGAAAGGGGTGTGGCACTTTTGCACAATTTAGAAAACCTTCCACATTATCAACCAGCTGATGGACGTTGGGTCACTGTCCTGTCAACTAAACTTCTCCTAGTTCTCTCACTAAATAAGGCAGTATTCTTGGGATTCTATGAATTCTGTAATAATTTTTAGATTTTTAAAAATTGTCTCGACCACTTTAAACAATTCATATAAGCACATTCTAGATCACCACAGTGGCTGTGAACACCTGAAGCATTCACTCCCTCTGGTTTGCTGTAATGCACCCTGGTCAGGGATGGGATGCAGGGTGCTGTAGGGGGGAAGGAGGGGCCGAGATTCTGCTCCTGGAAAGACCTACATATCTATCCATGTCAAATGCATACACTGAACTCCAAAGCTTTTGTTTTTAAAAAATTATGTATGTTAACTCACCTCTTCTGGCCCTCACTCCTACCCAGCTTTAGCAAAATATTAAGACCAATGGTACAGAATAATTCAGAATCATAGCAACAGTGGTTTAAAATGTTAGGTTTTTACTTACCTGTTTAATTTTTTGAATTAACATCTAAGAAGATAATGCTGATGTATATTCCTTTGAATTGAAAGAAAATAAAAAGTGCTAGTCCTGTACTAGAGAAATTCAGTTCTATAAGTATGCCTTAGGAATGTTCCCATGACTGTTCATTGGTCATGGTACTTCTGTGGCCATGTTGGCTTCTAGATAATTAAGTGTCTAAATTCATTACATGTCTGCTCTTCTATATATGGCAATGATGTATATTTTCTTGAAATATCATTTATCTTTTCTTATAAAAACCCGTTTTTTGTAGCTGTTGAGGATCCCAGGTGCTGGGAAGATATTTAATGTCAGGAGAGCAGATGATGCAAAGGGTCTGGTAAGAAGTATAAGAGGAATCAAAAGCCAGGGGCCCTCCTGTTATTATGACTGACAGGCAGAGGTGTAACAGGGTCAGACACAAGCCTTGGCATCAGGTAGAGCTCAAGACAAGCGCTGGCCCTGCCATTACAAGTTCCATGACCTTGGCCAAGTTCCATGACCTTGGCCCCATGCCTTGGTTTCCTCATCCATAAAGCAGGAACAAGAATAGTACTTACCATGTGGGGTAGTTGTGACATTTAAAGCCATTGTCAATGAACCTGGCATGTAACAAGTGCCCAGTAAGTGTTTCATGGATGACATTTGTTCTTGACTTGCTTGGACTCTTTGCTTCTAGTCTTTATTCCCGTTTGGACCCCACCATCTGCTGTGTGGATGTCTTATGCAACAGGCCATTTATTTAGGGGCTGTGAATGATCTCATAAAGCAAACAGAGGGCCGACGTCCACACTGTGTCATTGCCATTGACTGGCTATATAATTTTACACAACTCTCTTAACCTCTAGGGATTTGTCTTTTTTAAAAAGGTAGATCATGAGGCTTAGAATAGGTGAGACTATACCTTAAGGTTTGGAATATTATTCAAGTGAAAATATGTTACTATGGGCAACTTGGAATACACACGTGAAGTCATGAAGCTTTTTTAAAGTATTCATCGTTGCCGAGTCTTTTCTGCTTGGGGAGGCGTTTAAATTTTGCCACAAGCATCACCATATCCATGTTAACATGTGTTTCATCTCCATGTCTGATGTTGACCACTGCCCATGTGACAAAGGCTAAATAAATGCATGGTGAGGAGAACCTGTCCCAACAAAGAAAACTTTGTTTTCCATGTCCTTGCCAGGTGTCACCAACACATAATCATCCGGTGGGCACAGGAGAGCAGAGACAGCACACTCACACGGTCTTGTCCTCGCCACCCAGAGGGACGGTCAGCCTGAGGTATGACTGCTTGAATCGCCACCCTCCTCATCTCAAGGGAATTAACTGAAAAACAGAAGAACAGCAAGGAAGAGAGAAACCAGAGATGCGATGTTCCATAAAATTTCCCTGGAATGGACAAAACACCCTTTCTTTCGTTGCCATGGTTCTCCCCACCCATCAATTATTAATGAAGAGTTGTTGTTGTTGGGGGGGTGCAGTTGGTAACAGTTTGCTGTAAGTTTTCTCGAAGAACAGGTAATGGTGATTACTGGGTCTATTTAAAGCCATATGGCCTTAACCTCTGTATTAAAAGAACTTTAAAATATAGTTTTTAATACAGATCAATGAGAAACGCCTCAGATGTCCCTTAACAGGAATGCTAGAAATTTGAGAAGCAAGAGACCACCAGAAAGCACATACTTAAAACTTAAAAGAATAAAGCTCCCTACTGGTATTTTTTGTATTTACTTGTTTAATTCAGTTTGATGAAGAGGGACAAGCCCCCAAATGGACAAGTAGAAGCTTGAGAGTTACAGTAGTCAGTAGTAACAGCTGAGCGTGGTGGCCACAACAACATCCAGCAGGTGTTCAAGTCCTAACCTAGCAAGAACCCTTACTAGGTTTCTTCACACTGTTTCTTGCTCTTTTGAGGGATCTCAAGCCCTCCAGAGAACGCCCCCTGACTTTGTCCGCTGCATAACTGCTCCTTGCCTGTCTTGCAGGAAGCCCCGGGGAGAGGGCAAGAAGTGCCGCAAGGTGTATGGCATGGAGAACCGGGACCTGTGGTGCACGGCGTGCCGCTGGAAGAAGGCATGCCAGAGGTTCACTGACTGACCCCTGGGGCCCCCGAGCCCCGCTGCCCTCGCCTTCCACTGCAGGCTCTGGAAAAGCGCTTTTTCTTCCGAACAAAAACACACTTGAAGCCCAGGAAAAGCACTTCCAGGAAACTTGGTGGAATGACAGCAAAAAAAATAAATAAATAGATAAGGTCACCACCCTCACTGCTCTTGCTGAGAACCCAGCGTCGGGCAGCTGTATTTTTTTTTTTCCTTGAAAAGAAAAGTCAGCCTTTTTTTTTTTTTTTCTGTATGTCTAGGTCTGAAAACTGTGGACTTCCGTAGCAACTGAACCAACAAAGCCCGTTTTACCTAGAGAGGAGGCATATTTTGATAAGCTTTCCAAATAATGCCATTTCTGAGATTTTTTTGACATATTAAAAAAAAAAGCTACACGTTATTCAGTAGCGTTTGTACAGAGGACAATACCTGCTTTCATTGTGAATAGTATTTTTCCTGTTTTCCATTTGACTTCTTGGAGCAGTGCACATCATGACGTGTTGCTAGAAAGCGCAGCACTCTGGGGATCTCTTCTCTGTCTCGTTTGTCGGTTTCTCGCGTTTTGAAGAATGGCCCCGCACGGAACCGCCACAGAGCTGTTGGCCTGAAGGGCCCCAGGGGGCGTCCACTCACAAAGAGATCACCAGCAGACTTCAGCCCCCAGCTGAGTCCAGGACATCCGGGAACACCTAGGAGTCTTCGCTTTCTAAGAAGCCCTTGCCCGGGAGGCGTGGCGGCTCATTCTCTACCAGCCGCGGCTCCATCAAAGACTGGCATGGGTGGCCATCTGGGTAAGCCTCGATGCTTCTTTCAGGGACGCAGGGCAGACAGCGGCCCGGGTCTGTTGGTCACTGCTTGTCTGACAGTGTCCTTGCCAGGTTAGCGGGTCATCGGGCCTTCCCTCAAAACTCCACCCCGGACCAGTTTCAGAAAAGGTAGAGAACTCGAACTATCCCCACAGGACAGCAGAGCACAACCTCCACGTCCCCATCTGTTCAGAGGGACATGTGAGGTCAACAAACCAACATCTATTCTGAGTGCACTTTCATAGGTTGTATGCTTTAGCATGTCCGGGAGAGGGGTTCGTGAAATATAGAAACATGATATGGGTACATGGGAGGTCCCAAACTTTATTTTTCTTATAAAAATATTGGAACTGTTCATTAAGAATTTGCTCAGAGGGGAACATATAGAACACCAAAAGGAAAATGCATGTTGGTATAGGAATCTCTCAATTTAGTAGGACCAGGGCTCCCACTGCATTGCTCTTGGCAGGCTTTCTAGCCTGGTATGTATGTTTGTTTGGTTGGTTGGTTGTTTTGTTAGTAGTGTAAAGGGGGAGGGGAGTAGTCGTCATGCTCTCTATATAAGCTCATCGTCTATCTATCCTACTCTGGATTGCCCTGCTAATGAGTTATTTTTCCTATACCTATGCAAAGAAGTAAGAGCACCTTTCAGGATGCACTGTGTCAGGACTGGGAGCCTACGATCAGCCATAGGAATGTTCAATGAAATTGCACAGAGCAAAGTTTAATATATGTTTAGAGATTGTACATACACTTGTTTTAAAGAGTTGAAAGAAGTCATCTAGTAATAACAAATATCCTTTTCCTTTTATAATCGAGGGAAGTAGAAGGAGGTTCCACGGTGTAATATCCACAACCTATGCGTTCACATATTTTTGGCAATTTTATTTTTTAAGCTTTCATATGACTTTTTAAACATTGTTCCTTGGAAAAAATCCTGTTTTCCTCCATTTATTTTTATCTCAACAGCACTTATTTCAAGAGGGAAGGAAAAGAGCTTCATTTAATTTCATGCCATGATTACCAATCACTAGTAGCTATGGCACCAGCTATAATGTGTTTTAATATTTACAAGGTCAGCCAGGAAAGGGCATTTTTCTAAGGATAGAAATGTATTTGCATCCTCAATCCCAGCATGTCTTTTCTCCTTCCTGGAGTCCTGATGCTCTACCTATAGGCACCCTCGACTGTGACATGATGCTCTGGCCTGGCCCAGGAGGCCTGAGCTGAGGGTGGACTGCCCAGCAGCCACAGTGAGTCCAGAGCTGATGAACCCTTTGAGCAGGTTCCCTGTGGACAGAAGTGATGGTTGGTTGGGATGCACTCCCAGAGCAGAGGTTTTTCTCTTCGGTGAGGCTCCCTGGCCTGTGATCCTGGGATTAAGTCCCTCATCAAAAACAAAATGAGGAGGGGCTAAATCCATCCTCCCCACCCCCTAGAACTCTGGAACACAAGGAGCGAGAGGTCTCTGCTGTGGAGCAGTCCTGGACTGAGGTTTTGTGGCTGTCCTCCAGAGATGCAGCCCATGATTAGTTCCGAGCTCTGGCCTGGAGGGGTCAAGCTCAGTCCTTACCTGGTTTTTAGCTAATGAACAGGTATAAGCAGAAGTGTAGAGCTGAAGGCAACTTCCCTGGGATTTCTTCTCCTTTCTAAAGCCTTCTCTACACATACTCTTCTGCGTCTCCTACCCACATGGGGACTCCTTTCTGCCAACCGGCCCAATCTCTGTGTACCTTCTTGGCTTCCAGGTGTGCACAGACCCTCAGTAGCTTCCTGCACACACAGACATCCATTCTTTGTATCAAGGCATGTCATAACTAGAGACCCACCAAAATTCACCTGGCTGGCCTTGGGAGGGAAAAAAAAGGGGGGGGATTAACTTCTTGCAAGCCACCCAGAAAGTGATGAATTGCAATATACAGCACTGATTGTAAAAGCTAAAATTTAAAAAAAAAAAAGACATAGAGCTATTTTGTTATATTTTGGAATTAAATGAAGTGCCAAATTAAGCCCAACATTCGTTTTCTGCCATCTCTGTGGTCCCACATGCTTTTATGTCTTCATTTGGCGAGCGGAGACAGGGGATGGGTGGAGAGGGCGGTCCCACAGCATGCTGGCTGGTTAACGGGAGCTCCGTCCATCCCAGGGACCTCAGACACCTGTCTGTGCAAAAGCAATGGCAATACAATGGATTCTGGACCCAGAGTATTTCTAAAGAAGGCATGCTATAGTCTTTTGACCTTTCTCTCCCTTGATCCCCCCTTCCTTCACAAAATAGTTCTCATCTCTGTCTAAAAAAGGCATCTCATAGTAATGGACAGGCATTCTTCAGGTAGCTACAAAGCAAAGAGAGTTCATCAGGCTGTAGTATTAAGCCTTAGTCCTTCCCAGAGGATGTGCACCCAATTTATGGGAAGCAGTATGACAAGCTGGAGAAAACACCGGGTAGCAAGTGGGTGGGTTGGGGACCAGAGAGGAGATATGAGAGGTCTATGGACATCTGGCTCCTGCTCATCTCCTTAATGCTGGTCAGCCAATGGGGATTGTCCCTGGGCACCTCCAAGGGAGCTGTCATGTTGTCCCCCAGGAATGACTGCCCGAAGCAAGAAGAGGCTCCCTTAGGGGAAGCAGCTCTGCCCAGGGATACAGGACCGCCAAGCACATCTCAAGGGGGCACGGACTTCCCACCCCCTCGCTTGCTGGCAGGTTTCCTCATTGGTTGGGAAAAGCCAGTGTCAGGAAGAAGGCAGTGGGTTTCCACCCAATGCATGCTCAGCGGCGGAGTGCCTGCAAGCAGATCCAAGCATCAGGGTGCCCTTCACTAGACATTCCTTGTCCAGTCGTAACTGTGTTGCCGATGAAAACTTGCAATAGACAAGGATGGGGGTTACAGTTCTCTGGCTTTCCAAAATCGATACATGAGACAGTTACATGAATGTTGCAAGAGATTTCTGAAACTAAAATGCCCTCTATCAGATTTCAAGATCATTTTGAGTTTCAGTTGGCTTGACTCCAGTGTCCCACGAAGCCACACTTTTGAAAGCCGCCCTGGGTTCTAAAGTCGCCGACGGTTGAACCCATTTCCTCCTTCTTCAGACTTCATTGGAAAACGAAAGAACAGCATTCACTTGAGAATGTTGAGAGAGAAGTGGCAAGGATTGTACCTACAGGAGAGAATACCTTGAGAATAGTAGCAAAACACTGTAAATAATATTCATTTCCTCAGGGAAAATTAAAGGGTATGTGAAAGATAGATCTGGAAGATCCTTAGAAAGACTTTTATTATCTCTAGAGTCTTTTCGAGTCAGAACAGTTTAGTGTTTTGGGGTTTTTGTTTTTGTTTTTGTTTTTAACGAACAGGATGATTATTTCAAGACAATTTTACATGAACTGCACAATACCAACTTTTTGAGGTGTGGAGGAAAGCTCTATGAGAAAGAGCTGTTTCTTTGTAGCTGACGGGCAGTCTGAGGCTGACCTTTGAACCACAGGCACGCTCCCTGGCGGGTGTTCACAGACTCATGTAAGGCTTTTCCTGAATGTAATTGTGAATACGAAGCCTTGGTGTTCCTCTTTCTAATCACCCAGTTGGATGACTGCACGCAGAACCCCGTAGGTGAGAGCTGTTAAAGACGCACGTTTTGCTTTAGTAGCATGTTAAGGAGCAAACTTCCATGGACTTGTGCGGACAAGGTGCTGCTTTTTCTCATGACCCTGTAGACTTTCTATCGACCACATCAACTGTAGCATTGCCCTGTATGAACACAGGGAAGGATCTGTGCATACAAATGAGTGGAAACAGAGCAGAGTTCATGAATATGGATGAGGATGTGACTCCTTTTGGAGAAGGCGCTGGGTACACAGGTCAACTGGAAATTTCATTTCTCTCAGAAAATACCCCTACCAGCGGCGCACACACTCTCCCTGTTCCTCATACCTGTGGGGATTCCTCCATACTGGAACTGTTTCGTTGTGTCTTTTTGCATTGTAACTCGTCAAACCAGAAGTCAGTAAATAAAATGAGATTAGCACTTTTAGGTACCAAGTGTATGACTAAGTAATGCACACCAACAGAACAAGAAAGTATAAAATGTACTTAAGACCGACCGGTTTGCTTATTGTGACTGACTTTGAAAAAGCCCGTATCCAATGATATCCATGCTTTAAAAGGTGTACCTATCCTGGGACCGGAAATCAAAATGGGCATTTTACTTCTGGTCCTGTTTTGTAAATAGTTGCTTTTTTTTGAAGACAATCTCATGTTTTATAACTTTTCCTGTAGGTCTGAGAATCACAATGGTATTGTGTTGTGTCAAAATGTAATCTTAAATACGATAATTATAACTTAATTTTCCAAATAAGACAAGAATTATACCGCTTTAGGCTTCTACGATTCTAAGGGACATGACACTTTTATAATAAGCATTAGTACTTAACTTCTCACGTTAACAGAACTGGAAATATTTTACAAGATGCCGTGTTTTGTAATCACAAAAAACATGAACATTTTGTGGGAAATGACCTTGGTTTTATACATTGTAGCTTATTTTTTAAAATACAGTATTTACCAGACAGGAAGTGTTAGTATTATAAAGCAATTCCTGCTCTCCAAACAAAGGGCTATGCCTCTTTTAAGCAAGTGTTTTGATGCATATCTTTTCAATGAACCCTCTGCAGCAAGGGTAGAAATGCAGATCAGACGGAAAGAGTATTATAAGAGACTCAAGCTGGCAACAGCTACTCCTTTTATCATTGCCAGTGTGTTTGCAAAGTATGACGGAAAAAGACACTTTAAGAATCATCCTACGTATCTTAAATCGGAAAAAAAATGTTAGTAGATATGCTTGCAGGCAATGGGAGAAATATTCTTGGAAATTCTTTAGAGTAAAATGAGATTCTGTCACAAAGACAAACTTACCACAAACCTTCATTTAACTAGCAAGTATCATCGGGTGGTAATTTCGCAAACCATGGTATGTAAGCCCAAAGATAGAATTTTTAGGCGATCAGTGGTGTTTAAAATAAGTTTTTCCTCAGCACTAACTCAATAATCTTAATTTCCTTATCAAAGCAAGTGCTTGATTTGTCACGAGAAGAACGAACAGACATGCAGTTTGCGATCAGAAAGTCACTGTGTTCCCAAGAGTCGGGAAACGAGGGAGGGAGCCATGGAGAGTTTATTAACTGCACAAATAATTTTGAGCTTTGCCAAAACCATTTCATAATGCTGTACAGTTTTTTTCTAGCCCACTCACTGTTAAAAAAAAAAAAAGAAAGAAAGCATCTTTTCTTTCTAAGATTTCAGTAACTCAAAAGCTAGACTAATTAGCAGTATGCAGATAACATCAAAAGTAAAGCAGGGATAGAATGACCGTATACCCATTGGGCAACTCCTATGAAGTGGTCAGAGGGTCACCCAGACCTTGCTTTCAAATAGGCTTTAGAATCTGCACACATGAGGACTAGAAATGCATGGAGATAGGGAAAACCACGTACAGCCTCGACTCCTGGTCTCTGAGATGAGGCAGTCTGCAAATCTCTATCTTCATTCCCTTGACTATCTCCACTGTTAGCATGAAATCCCCAAGAAGTGCTTATTGCTGTGTGGTTTTGAACCAAATGAGTCTTGCTTCTTTTTGAAATAGAAGCTTCCTAATGGTTTATAGCAGAAGCCTTAGAAAAGCCAGGCAGGATCTGTAAATGAACGATTCAGGTCAGGCAAAACAGGGACACTACGGAAGAGTGGAGAGACTTGTGAACCAGAGAGCGCATGCCCCCATTGCCTGGGGCACCCAGCTCTAGACAATCAGAACCATGCAGAAATCAGGCCCAGGGCTACTAGATCTTCTGACTTGGAAGTAAGATGTTACCTGACATTTAAGTGTTGACAACTCAAATTCTTGGCCAACACTGTGCAGACCAAAGAGAACCTATATATGGGCAGAGGCAACCTCTGGCCACCAGTCTCACCTGTTGGGGAAAGCACATCTCACATCCAACGGCCACTGGGTCAGGTTCGTCCCTCAGCCCCACAAACTCACACGTTGGCACTATCTGGGCCACTAAAATCAAAGAAGGGAAAGAGGTCAGTTCTCCCCAGAAATCATTCTCATGGAAGACTTGAATATTAAAATATAGTATCCTTAAGTTAGCCTTGCCTCTGATCAAAATATGCTAAAGTACTATCCGGCTCACCTTCTGCCCCCTTCTGGCGGCCCAGGCCATGCCCCAAAGCATGGAAGAACTGTCATCCCAACTTAAGTTCTCACCTACCGTGACCACTGTGATGAGGGGCTGGCAAAGAGCAGGCTCGTGCCTTCAGAGAAGGCAGCCAGGAGCCTCTGGAGTCTGAAATAGTCTGAGAGTCTGCTTCCTTGTGCCAAAGCCCTTCACCAGTCCCTCCACACTGCTTCCCACTCCATCCTGCCTCGAGAGTTTTCATTCCAGGGTAAAATCTCCATCTCCAATATAGCAACAGCCTTGTTTCAGAACTAGTAGGTATGTTAGAGTGTCCACTAACCCCCAGAATGGAGTTTTTCCACACAGAAAACCTTAGCACCTTTGTCTGCGGGCAAAGACAAAATGGGAATAAATGTGTCATGGAAAAAATTAGAAGTTGCTTCTTTGGCTCGGATGGACTAAGTTACTTCAGACTGTATCTTACACCAGAGTCCTGATGGTATTGGGATAATCGCTAACCCTTTCACATATATAATAAAGTAGGTTTCTTTCAGATACATTATTTCATTTGACCTTCCTAGGGATCCAGTGTAGAGTAGGAATATTTAGGATCCCCTCCGAGGCCACACCACGATAGTGTTAAGCCTGGGAGTCAGGCCTATCACTGCCTGAAGGAAAGGGGGGAAGGGCTTGCAGACTGAAGTCTTCTAGACCCCAAATCTAAAAAGACCCAGGGACCCACCCGGGTCTCAACCCACCCTCTCAGCCCAGGTCCTTCAGCATAGAAACTAAGCACGTGTTCATTCCCGTTGTCGCATGCAAACTTAATCATGGCCAACAGCACCCCTTTAGGCTGCTGCCGTGCCCCTACTCCCTAAGGTCCAACCATCTAAACGGTTACTTATAGGAGTTTCTTAGCTAACGTGATGTTCTGAGTAAAAGTTTTGACTCCTTGGGAAAAAAATGATTTTGCTGCTACCGTTCAACATTTGTTCTCCATGTAAACGGAAATCGATGCCAGAAAATTGAAAAGCAGCTCAAATTTACAATTTTTAATGATCAAATCCAATGCAAAGTTGGAAACACCCATGAGATGCTGAAGTCATGTTTAAATACGAATGCAATTTAAATGACATTGTCAATGCCTGAGATCTCTGTCAGGGTGAGTGACTAAAAGGCTGTCCAAAAAAAAAATAAAAGGTTGTCCAATAATGAACAGGTTTCACGAGGCTCTTCTCCCTTTACTTTACCAGGCTTCCCATCGCGAGTTTAGGGTAAAGTCACTCCCAGGGAGGGTAGTCATGGAACTAGAAGGGGCCTAAGCCATTTTGGCCTGCATGTACTTCATTAACAGGCTTTTTTGACAAATGATGCGTTGTTATCTGTGGAGAATACAGTGCAGGCGTTGGACACAGCTGAGCTCTCCTCCTCTGCAGGTGAAGAAGCCTGTTTTGCAGGGGTGAGCACCAAGGCCCCCACAGTGGCGGGGCTTCGTGAATAAGCAGGAAGCTGAGGTTCCTAAAGAAGATGACCATAGATTCTGAGAGAAGGCGGAGATTGTGATTTCAATGCTCAAACTGTCATCCTTGTTTCTAAAAAATGTTCTTTCATATTGGGCGCCATCCATGTCATTATAAATGGCCAGCCTCCAAAGAAAAGGGCCCCTTTATTTATACTATGAAAATGTTAAAAAGCGAATTCTTGAGCCTAATTAACTGTTACATTTACTCACGAGGGGCAATTCCCTAAATTTTTAATTCAGAAGATTCACCAGAGTAGAAAGTAGCAACTCCTGAAAAGGGCAAGAGAGCTGTCATTAAAGAAGAAAATTTTCTTTAAAAAAAAATTGCTCATCTGCTTCCTTCTGAATTCTTTCTACATCTCTGACTCAGGAGGAAAACCAGGACTCTGGAGAAGAAATTGAGCTTAAAGAGAGAGAGAGAGAACAGTGCCAGTTCTGGTGATTAGTCTTAACCAAACACTCCCCCGCCCCCCTCCCCGAGCGCCATCTTGGCAACCACCTTGTGTTCACTTATGTAAATGTGGCCTTACTGAGGCCACACTGTTGTTAGTTATGTTCCCTTCCCAAAATTCCAAATTAAACACTTTTGCTTCTGTGCTGCTGACTTGTTTCTCACTCTTAAATTAAGCTCCAAGGGGATAAATATGACTGTGACTTGTCTGTGAGGCTGCCCTCTTCTTTCCGAGAAAAATTTCCATCTCTCTGAACAGTTTTGGGTGATCATTCAGAGAGCATACAACCTGCAACACTCATCACAAAAGACTCAGACAGACTCGCTGATAAAGAAAGACAAGGCAGATATCCAATCCTTTCACCTGGATTCAAATCCCTTCACGCAAGTCACCTACCCACCAGGCCCGTCCATGCGGAAGGCCAACTGTGTGATCAGACTACCATGGAAGGACAGAAGAAGAGAGCTTCACATTTTAATTTCTCTGGGCCCTGACCTCTGCCCACAATTATACGGCATGAAAATTGACTTGGCCTTTATTATGTGAAAGGAAAGTGGCTCCTGCAAGGTATAATTGCTTTAACTTTATATCTGTGCAAGGAGGAAACCACTCCAGGCTGCTCTCACCATTAAGCACCTGTCCCTCACCCTGGTGGAGCCCTCTTCCCATGCTTTGGGCACACACGGCCAAGACAGAGAGGAAGAAGGTAGAGCTTTGGGGGCCAGCAATGCCAGAGTTGGAATTACCCCTCAGGGATCTACAGTGTAGTGTAATTACAAACTGCCTCCTCTCCAAAAAAAAAGGATGCATCACTTTGCAGATTACAAACCCTTGCTTTGCTTTTTATGTCTTTTTATTCTATTCTCTGCTAATTGGAAATCAATGACTGTGACTTGACCAAGCCCTGTGATGATAGCAAAGCCCCTTCTTCCAAAGTATCCCGATTGTCTGGGGAACCTCTGTGATCACTGGTAGAAAGCTTTAGAATAGACTTAGATTTTTAGGAAAGAACTCAATACCCCCAAAATGTTCCATGACTTCAATAACTGAAAATGCTCTGGGTGTAAAACAACCCAGAAATGTGGATTATATATGTTTTTAAAAAAAAATGCCATTAATCAATATTTTCCTACAACATGACCTAGAATTCCTATTTTTATAATCAATGGTTGGACGATGGTCAGCCATTTAAACATATGCTCTCTGGAATAACCAGATACTAGTGTAATTTCCAAAGTGTTTCATGTCTCAAAATCTATATACTTAGAAGAAGAACTCAGGATAAGAAAAAATCGCTAGGTCCCAAAGGGTTCATGACCATCATCAAACGCAACTACCGAGTGGCCTACGGTCATCTTTCTCAAATAAGGGGGCTGGGGAGCGAGAGAACAACAGTTACCACAAACCCTCCGTTGCCCTTAGTCCATGGTAAGGTTTAAAAAAACAAAACAAAACAAAACAAAACTCTACTTTTAAAAATTAAGCCATCTTTCAAATTGTTTTCTACACCAAATCTAAAATGTTAAAACGAAATTATAAAACATTTCAAATGGGGTATTTAGTGGAAATACTGTCAGTAGAAAGCATTGCTTTTCAGTGCCTGCTGAACGAGGTAAAGCCAGAAGGAAGAGCAAGCCGCGGGCCTTCCTGCGTGATGTTAATGACAGCGTTAACTAGACAGCGGCCTCAACTGGGCCGTGGGCACTAATTCCAGAGCAATGTGGCGACACCATCCGATTTTGAGAGATCTTTTGAACTACAATCTTACCACCATTTGGAAGTAAGTACTTGCTTACAAAAGGTCTTTAATATTAGTGAATGAATGTATAAAGTTACAAACTATGCATTTTCAAAGAGTAACTGTATTTTGTATCAAATCCAAGTAAATTTTTTTCATAGACTTATCACAAACACAAATTATTCAGAATAAACTTGAATGCATAACATTATGGGAATGTGAGACTCCCATCTATATTCTTCCAGCTGATATTTTTAAAGACAGTGCATTGAAATTTCAGACTCTAAACAACATCAGCTATTAAGGTAAATAAATAGGAAATGGTTTCTAGTTTACTTCTTAAGCAGAAATGCGAAATGCTGGTTGTTACAAAACGTGCCCGGTTTTTTTGAAGGTGGATCTTCTAGTAACGCTGGATTAACAGGAAGACAAAACTGCATGAGGTGAATGCACATCACATTGGATAAATATAGCATTAATAGGTTATGTCTGTTGTGTTTAATTCTCAATCTGAGAACAAAAACTACTCTCCGAAGGGTTTGGGTTCTAGCATTTCAGAGAACAAAATATAAAAATGCTGTCCATCAGAGCAAATCATTAGGCTTTTTTCAAAATTACATGGAGATAATTACTTACATTTCTGGAACGTCCGTACAGAATATACACACGTTTCTTCAGCCTTCTTGCTGATTTTTTAATTCCATGAAACCTTTCCCCTAATAATTTAACCTTGCTCCTTAATTAGTACTTTCCTACGTTACTCCGCATGAAAAAAACAAAAACAAAAACATTCTTTCCCTTCATCTGACAATGTTGAAATAAAGAACTCCATTTCTCTGCCATTCTAGTTCTCTTCTCTGTCTGTTGAGAAAGTTTCTCAACTGTTTGTAGAACTATGGAAAATATGGAAAAACACACTTCTAAACCTGGTACTTATGGTTATACTGGATATGTTTGCTACCTATGTAGAAGTTTTTGGGGGTGGGGATGTGTCTTTTTATATGATTTTTAGCCAAATTCAGATGTTCTGATACTACATTTCTGAATACCTATTTGACTGTAAATACAGCCTGTGGAGGTTCCAGTTAATACACCTTTGACGTGACTGTTCCTCAGCCATGCCCAGTGCCAGCTTTTGGCACATTGTACATAGATTTGTTGGATGTTTAAATGATGTTGTTTTTTCTAAATGCTGTTCTCTAAAACAACTTTTTGAATGTTTTTTGCTTTCCATTGTTTGGGACTTTGTGTGTTGGTTTAAAAAAAAAAAAAAATGTTTCCTAAATATCTAACACCAGGAAAAAGATTTCAAATAAACTGGTGCTAATTGAAATAGAAGAAAAATTTCAGATGTGAAGACTTACCATATGAAACATTCACACCAGTTAAACTAAACTGCACTTTCCCAAGGGGACAGCTGGTATCGACCTGCCGTGGCCATCAGGAGGACCACTGAATGTGTGCAGTTTCTGTGGCCCATTTAAGTGTAATGCATAAAAATGGCGCTGTCCCCCAGATTTGAGGATTTGCCACGCTGGTCCTATGGAAGCATTTAAGTAGAAGTAAAGGCTTAGAGTAAGAATCAATTTAGTAATAGTTTTCTGGTCTTTGGACTTTCATGTTCTGTAATGCTTAGCTGTAACAATGAATATGGTGTTGCCAATGTAGTCTGACATCATCGTTGACCTGTACTTACCGCGTGTATGGTTCTACCTTGGGTTGCACTGACACATGCCAAGCCGGAACACTGGACTTTCAATAAGACCATCCTGACTTCTACAGTGTCCACACACATGAATTGAAATGCACTTGTAACTGGTTAATTACCATGGAGTCTAACTTCCACTTAATAAAAGTTTTTGTGTATCTGCTTCTATTGGGGGGCTGTTTATTTAAGTAAAGGATAACTAACTTATACCCAAGAAAGGCTCACTGAGGACAGAGTGTTGGAGGTTTTACCTACAGTTGTGAACTTAATTTAAAACCAAAGGGATGGGGTGCTTGCTTGGGTGGCTCAGTTGGTTAAGCATCTGTCTTCGGCTCAGATCATGATCCCAGGGTCGTGGCATCCAGCCCCGCACTGGGCTCCCTGCTCAGCCAGGAGTCTGATTCTCCCTCTGCCCCCTGCTCATGTTCTCTCTCACACTCTTTCTATCTCAAATAAATAAATAAAATCTTTAAGAAAAGAAAAAAGAAAAAAACAAAACCAAGGGGATGTCTTCCCCATATCAACATTCACCATCAAAGCTATCTTTAGAAATATGGAAGACACATCTGTCTTCTAGAGTTCAGCCCCAATAACTACAACTCAAACCCATTCCCTTGGCCATGACTGCCCAGATAAGTCAGCTGCTTGCCCTGTGCTGCTAGTCCTGCTGTACCAGGCATGTAGACAAAGCCTGGCAAACAGAGGAAAGGAGATGTCTATTCTGGTGCCAAGCCAGCCTGCAGACCCTCCCCCAGGCCAAGGCTGGGTCCACTAGAACTTGATATAGTCACCTACAAGAGCCAAGCATAGGTATGTGTGCAGCGAGACAGCAGGCCACAGATTTGGGCACAAATCCAAGTTTTGCCTCTTGCAAGATAAATAACTGGACAAGGGATTTAACCCTTGTAAGTGCTGTCCTTATCATGGGACATGATAATGAAAAAGAGGAGAACAAATTAGCCTGGCTTGGGCAATATCTTTACCCACTCCTAGTCCAATCCTCCTTGGTTGGAGTGGGAAGGATTATGATCTCTGTCCTACTGCCTGGTTCAGAGAAGGTCCCACATCATGGGGCGATTGTGAGAACTACCTGAATTAACATATCACCATGCACAGAGAAGTAGCCCACAAATGGAAGCCAAAATACTCAAAAACTGGAACCCTCAGACATCCAGAATGAGTGCTTTCAAACACCAGAATTTTCTTTTCAGTTTCTTAAAAAGATTCTTTCTAAAATAAAAATGTCCTGGCTTAGCAAATAGCTTACACAGCACATCTGGATGTTTTCTTGGTTACCCCGATCATCATTATTTCATCCATTCATAGAATGAGCAGTATAGATCAACCTATTCCAGAACTGAAGGACTGTGGAGTCAGACGCCCAGTGCCTTCTTCCATGCCAGCCCCAGCTCCAGCCCCAGCTCCAGCCCCAGCACCGGCTCAGCTCCTGGTCACTGAACCCCTGTGATTTGCTTGTATTCAGCACATGGTACCCTGAGCCCCTTGCGCTTTCCTGAGATGTGCCAGAACAGGAGGAAGTAAGACTAGCCTTACTGAATTCCTACTGTGGGCCAGGTGGTGTACTGGATGCTTTCATGTGGTCAGCTCACTTAATTCCCACAACAGCTCTGTGTGTGGGGACTGTCACCCTCATTTTATCCAGAAGGAAACATCTTCCAAAAAAGTTAAGTAACTGGC